TATATATATATAAAAACATAATTTGTATTTTGAAAATATCCACTATAGGCACGTTGAAAAGGGACATCATATGCTCAAGAATCTGCCGCCCAGTTTACTGCTGGAGGTCAAAAAACACTAGCGCAATGTATTGTTTTGAGCGGTGAAGTTATCAAGCTAACGCGCTAAATTTGCATTGCTTTACTCCTAAATGCATCTCTATAAAGGAATAACATATAAATCACCCATTCCATCGTGTTATTTGCATTAGGTGTGAAAACCATACTAGTAACTTTTTATCCCACTACCTGGGGGCAGTCTCACAGCTCTGTTCTAGTCCTTGCAGTAAGAAAAAGAGCTTTATAATACTTCATATCGATTCAAAAATACTTTCTTGATCCAAAAGAGAAATTATACTTTTTATGAGAATTCCTTTATTTGAAATCATCACTGAGGTTGTAGAGCATTCCCTGGAATAAAGCCATCCTTCTTTATCAGCTTTTTGAGCTTTTTTAAGTCATTTGTTCCGATGTCGTTACCCCTGCAGCTGATGGCAAAGGAAAACCACACTTTCCACAACCGACTTATAGAAGATATGTAGCATCTTTCTGAAGACATCAAAGAACTTTTCTTATGAAGTACAGTCTGCTCTGTCCCTTTTTGTAGATAGACTCACAATTATGTCTCCAGTCTAGTCTGTTGTCCTGGTGAACACTGAGGTATTTACACTCCTCCACCACCTCCAGGCCTTCTCACCATGATGTTAAGAGCATTCAACTTGTTGCTATTTCATCTGCTCTCGTCTCTTGTTTTGTTCACATTCAGGATCAGATTATTGTTTCCATCGTTATTGCCCCCAACCATGACCTGGTTAACCCTGTATTTCTGCAGATGACAGGACTCTATCTTGTACTAGATGTTAGAGGTTTAGAGTAAAAAGGAAAGGTAAGAGTACTGTTCCCTGTGGGGCCCCTGTGCTGCTGACTAGGTGGTTAAGTAGTTGACCCTGTCTTGCGGCTGTTTGTCTGGTAGTCTTTGATTCAGGCGATTGTTGAGGCCTTCACCTGAGTGTCCTTAAGTTTATGACTAAGTAAATCAGAATGAATTGTGTTAAATGCATTGCAGAATGCAAAGTACATGATCCTCTATGTAGGGTTTTTGTCTGTTTTTGTCAAGTCAGATTTGAGGGTCAAGGCAAGACAGGTAATTCTCAAATCAAATCAAAAGTCTGAAACTTTAAATTTCAAGTCCTTTCAAGTCTTTTACTGAAAGTTAAATTATATATATTAAATTATATTTTTTTATCTGTATTCATTGTTTTTTATTTCTGTTTTATAAATGTGTGATGAGTAAAACTAATTAATGCTGCCCACTTTTTAATTAACAGATGTTTTAATTTTTAGATTGAGGGTAAAATATCAAGTATTTTCAAGTAAACAGATTCGAGCCCAATCCAAGTTACAAGTCATTGGGGTAGAAATCCAAGTCTTAAGGTTTTGAGCAATTTTCCAAGGCAAGTCTAAAGTGAAGTAATTGAAGATTTAAGTTAGTCTGGAGTCCGTGCCGTGGGAAATGAGTCCCCACCTTGTTAAATACAATCAATTTCGGTGGTTCTTATTTAGACTTTTGTCCAAAACCTGCAATCAGGTCTTATTTCTAGCTCAAAGAAAGCTTGACCACAAAACCGTTAGTAAGCAACATATATTTTGTTATATGTACCAACCTAGGATGGTAAGCTAGGGGGGCGTGCATTGAAGCCTAGATTGCATGTGATCATATTAGGTGGCACTAGTGTGAATGGTCACACCAGAAACAGCAAAAAACAGTACAGCTTACAGTGGTTTACAGAAAGTCAGTGTGGAAAGATCTGCTATTTTTACTGGCATGGACCATGCAACAGCACTTTATCAGTCTTTAGGGGCTGTAGTGAACTCTATAGATCTCTGACAGGTACATGGTTGTTCAGCTGAACTGAAAATCATATAATCAAAGGCATATGTTTCATGGTTGGACCAAGTATTTAATGTACTTGAAAATGTAGCTGTATGTCAAGCCCTTAAGGTAATTTATATCTCCCAAAAAAAAACAACAGCATTATTCTGTTAGAAATCTACAATATTAATTTGGGTAAGGAGAAAAACAATTTAATTAAAAACACAAAGGGTGACTAAAAGGTGGATAAGAACAAGGTAATGCAGGGCCAATATGGCTATAGAAATAATTTATACATATGTGAGCGGAAACATAAAGTAACATAAAGAGGAAGGTCACAGCAAAGTAGGTCAAACACCTGCATTCAAACTTCCAGATGGGGCGAAGAATTAAAACAGCTGGACCATGATAATACTTTCCTTATTTGCTTTTGTAATGCATTGTTTCAGTGTTGCTTATTTACTTATCTTCCATTTTCCTTACCTTGCTGATCCTCTTTTGGTATGAAGCCAGACTTCAGTGCTGTTATCTCTTCACCTTAGCTCATCTCATTAGGCCTCCTGCATTTAAGAAAACCAGTGTGAACGTCTTTCTTCTCCAGATTGTCCATAATTTGAACCTAGAATTAAACATATGGTTTTCCAATTCTTGTAGTGTTTTTTGGATGTACTTGTCGCCATCTCAATGTGCTAACAGAAGCTTTAGTCCCATTCCTGAAATTCTCTTTGTCAACTCAGATGTGATAAACCCTCTGGTAGTCCTCTGCTAACAACTAGTCGCCTGAAATGCTCCACCTTCATGAGCATTTGCTCATGAAGATACTAATTCAACTATTGTTTCCTGTGATCTCTTTTAGTCAACACTCATATGCCTGGTCTCCCTTCATGATTAACAACAGTAAACCTTTGAGATAGGTTTGTGTTAAAACTTGAATAAATAATTACTCATTCTGTGGTCTAAATGAATGTTTCCTAGTTTTGGTTCCTGCAGTCTTCTGGTTTTGTTTTCTATCATTTGTTACACCCCAATTGAAACTTTATGCACTTTTCTTAGTCTGCCGTGGTTGACTGTCAACTTGAGTTAGGCCATATTAGAAGACTTTCATTTATAATATAATTGCTTTCTAATGAGCAAAATTAATAAGATGATAGCATTTAAAGTAGAAGAATATGGTGCCCTGCTTCTGATCCAAACCCACAAAATAAAATGTGGTAAATTTACAGCTTTCCCTTTTTGTTTCATTGTATCTCTAATCTATTTTGTCTCTCCTAAGTTTTGCCTTCCTATGTCGCGGCTTCAGGTCTTCTATGCTACTGTAACGAACGTTTCCCATCATGAACCACATAAGCCTACCTTCAAAACCACGGCCTCAACGGTTTTTTACCGCTTCCACCTTCTTTCTTGCTGTGTGTGTGTGTGCATGCATGTTTATATGAGAACTGCTTGCAGCTCACAGCTGCCGAAAAAGCATCTGAAACCCTGATAGCATCATCACACAGGAAAGAAGCTAGAGAGCTAGAGACACTAGCTTGTGCTACTAAATTTGGAGGAAAGGGGAGAAGTGGGGTTGAGTGCTGCATATAATCTGTGTTACTGTGGAAAAGACAGATGTTCAGCGAGCATGGGAACCCATCAAACCTCTTCACCATGGCGTTTTTGTTGAGGGCAGGATTGCAATGTGTCGTTATCCGAAGTTTATCACTTCTAATTAGTAATGATGGGTCTACAGTGTGTGTAACTGAATACGTACAAAGGCTTTATGGATCTATCAAAGGGAGGATGGAAGCCTCAGCTATGCAGACATGATTCCAGTGCAAACGTTTTCATACTAAAAATAACTTATAATGACACGTCTACCTTTTTTTTTGCTTTTCTGGACATTTGTATGTTTCTATTCAAGGCTCATGAGTAGAGCAATGACATATTATGTCATATGTTACAATAATATATAAATATAAAAAAGCTATAACAGGTATCATAAAAATACAGTCCAGTAAGTGGTGTTTTCCCACACCATCAAATACAGCAGACATTTAAAATAGAAGCTTTTGTGCAACTGTGAGCTACAAGAAAACAAGAAGAAAACCCAGTTCTATTCAAATCCATATGAGCCAAATTCAGTGTCAGGAAGCCCGTTTTATTAACTTCAAGCTTCATTCCAATAATATGGAAATATATCATTAAAAAAATAAAGAAATAAAATGAATGCCTTTGAAAAATAACTCCATCCTAATATATCAATGGGGCCATTATGGCATCCCTCTGTGAATGTTTTCTCAGCATGAAGCCTGACCTAAACTAACTCCTTGAGCCATATTATTTTAACCAGTACCGCCACTCCACCCACTAGTGTAATACACTGTGCTAAGGGCACTGAGTACCAAGGCAGAGATTAAAAGAAGAGGGTTTAAAAAAATAAAAAATAAAGTAGCTAATCATAATAAAGATAAATTGATAAAAACCTGTAAAGTATATTTTTAGATATGAGCAATGAAAAAAACATTCGCTCATGTAGCATTTGGACCTCTCTTAAGTCTCTTCCAGGGTGCCCCCCCATCCATGAGCCCAGTATGAAGTTAAGTAATAAAAGCCTAAACAATAGGTGATACCTTAACAAAATCATGAGTTGATGAATCCTAAACAACTTGGAAACTAGAGTATTGAAAAAAACTGGGCTGTCAAAGTTAACGTGCAACTTGTTTTTAAAACCATTTTTTCAATGAACAGAGATGCACTGCCCTGTAGTTTGAACTTCCCTGCTTCAACCGTTTCTACCAATTCCTTGAAATGCTGTGACTGTTTGTTTTTTTTCACAGTACTGTTGTAGACAAAAGAGCCAGGTATTTAAAGGGGAACGCCGTTTTTTTTTAAATTGGCCCCTTGATTTTACGTTATTACATCATGTTTTACTCACCCATATTAGATTTTATGTGATTTGGAGCTGTTCTGAAAATATTCGGTTAGGTTATATCCAAGTAACATCTTCCTATGGGCAACGACCTGAAGGCACAAACTGTTCATAATTTATTCTTTATGGTACGCCATCATTCATAACATGTAGGCAAATCACTGTTCCCCAGACATCTGCGGTTATATATTTTTTTATTTATATTTTTTAAAACAAAGCGGCACGTTTATGACGTCATCCGCGCACGCCGGCTACCATTCATTCATCCTGTCCGCTGAACTGCTGCTAGTTTTACTCACATGCCTGGAAGATGTCTAGTGCTAATACCACAGATGATCTCGCTCTCGAAATGGAATTAAACGATTCAGATTAGCTAGCCGAATGAATATAAGGGGTAAAGCGTAGCCGCCTGTGGCCCAGGCTGCCTGTCACAACTCCAGTCCGGCCTCGTCACATCCAGTCAAATCAACTGTATCCACATCCAATGATTCACAAAATTCTGGTTAATTCTTGGTCTGAGAAAAAGTCAAGTTCTGACAGTCTGATTAGATAGAAAAGGCTTGTCAATGTGTAGGTTGTCACATTTTACACAAATGTATGGTTTGAGGTAAACTATTTAACTATAACTCTTGTATGTTTAACAGGATTCTTCCTGTTAAAGTGGTAATTTCCTTTCCATGATTAATTGATGCATGCATGCATGGATTACAGCGAAGTTAAAAACACAATACTTGCTATTCACCAGGTCAGTCACTCCATGCAATCTGATGAGTTTCCTTAGATAAAAAAATGCATAACCAGTTTAAATAACTTGTACATAACTGAATTGTTTGTCAAATAGGATTAATTCAATATATGTACCTTAAATGGAGTTATTAAATTGCACACACTTTCTAAAGTCACTAAGATGACCTATGTTGTTAATTCATACTAAAGTTAAGAAACGACATAGCTTTCATTTAATTGAATGTTTAGGTTCATTAATCTGGTAAACCTGTTTTCCAGTCACAAGTCCTGCTGCCTCAACCCTCAGCAGCTCTGAACATCTTCATTTCCATTTCAAAGGAAAACATCACAACAGAATGAAGCTGATACTGTATGTGGTGTTTGCTTTTACAAACCCTCACTATAAGAATTATTATTAGATGCAAGAGGTCCATATATATGTATACATATATATATATAATAACTGAATTAAGGCAAAGTAAAAAAAATATTAAAACTCTTAAGTTCCTTTCACTACAGTTCTTAAGAGTCCCTTGAAAATATGAAAGGAAAGCATTAGGTCAATGAGTGTATAAAGTTTTGCCACAACAAAGAAAAAGTTCCTTTATCCTGACTTTTTAGTAATTATTCCCAAGGCAAGAGATGCATATCGTTTTATAATCTGGTTTACCAATCATCTAATCTAATGCGCTTTGGGTGAACTTTGTTCACACCCCACATGTACTATCCCTGTCCCTCCTGCCATTCCCCTCTTCTCTCTGAATCTACTCCTTTCATCACTCCACATCCGCAGGGGAGATGTAAAGCTTTTGGAGTAAATCAAGGCTCTCTCCTTCATAAACGCCCGTGCAATTAACTTAGCTCTTTCTCCCTATGATTTACAGCGACCATATTGGTTACTGGAGTCACAGGCCCTCTGGGTTTCAAAAGAAAAAGACTCAGTGGCTAACTTCCCTCACAGTCTCTCTGAAACACACAGTCATGCACACACACATTCACATATGGAACCGCAAAAGTTGCTTGCACATATGCAGATTTATTCACATCTGCTGCTTTGAACAGAAAATGATTAGTGAAGAGAAAAAAAGAGGGCAATGAGTGAAACAATGTGGCATAATGACAGAGAAACTGATGACTGGCTGCAAAAAATGTAAGAGCCTATACAAAAAAACAAATCTATCCCTAATACTTCTTTACAAAGAGAAATTTCTTATACATTTAGAAAAAAAACCACAGCAAGATGTGATGATGATTTTATCAAAAAAATACTTTAACTTTGATTTTAGTATACCTTTAGTACATACAATAAATACAGTTTAGTGATTTTTTTATGGTGCATGAAAAAGTATTCCTTCACCCTTGTGTTCATTAATTGAATTCCAAAAACCAAGATAGTAAAGAAAAGGAGGTATGAATGCAGCAATTTTAGCTTGAATATGAGAAATACCCAACAATGTCACAGAAGTGTTGCACAACTCGCCTACTGAATAGAAAACACCTGTAGTTTTGGTGGTTTTATTTCTTGAACTGGAACCAACTAAATGGGCGTCTTGGACTTTGAAGTTTTTCCACGGCATTAAAACCTCTTGCTGTGCAAGTTTAGAAGCACTATTTGTAGGTACATGGGGGTGGAGATTTAGCAGAAATGTGTTTCTTTTTTTTTTTTTACTGTAAGTTAGAACCTTAAATGTTTTCAAATTTTTTTCACCTAATTCAGTGATAGTGATGCACCCGTTACTCCTATTGCTAACAACCATAAGACAAATTACACTAATGTAAAAAAGAAACGAGTTTTTAATTATTTTTTATAATATATAAATCTACAAAAGAAACAAATGAGCTTGTTGAGAAGATGCTGTTACTGAAACAACATGGGTTTTTGAATAAGATATTAACATATACCACATATTGAGTCAGAAAAAGTGTTGCAATAGATCTTTAGTAGATTAAAGAGCTTCTTTTAAAGAGGACTGGAAGCACAAGTATTCCTGTATTAATTTGCAAACTGAGCCCAGACGTACAATGTATATCCATCCTATGTCTATTTTGTTTTTTATTTGTCTTGTTTTGTTTTTTTTTATTGTTTTTTTACTATGGTTA